TTTAGGCTCCACGCCTATACGCTTTCGATGCCCTCGTTCGTGTTTCACTACCACATGGTACGCTTCAACTAAAACGAACGTGCAGAGAAGAGAAATAATGACATGTGTGGCACCGGTTTGCCACTAAGACAAGACATGCTGTCTCTTTAATTAGGGCACAGCATGTCATATACACTGCACCGCCACCGCGCTCCCGTTGAACTGAGCACGTCACGGAATGAACAAAGTGACGCCTAGCACGAAACGCTACATGTAATCACTGGTACGCTGCAATAAAGTAAAAAGATATGGCTGCGAAGTTGAAAGGACGCGCATGTTGCCTCTCCACGTCAGATGGCGCGGCGATGCAGTTTTATCGAATGGCGGTCATCTCTCGCACATCTCGACTTATTTTGTCAACAGGTGTACCCACGCTATTGTAGAGTTGTTGGTATTATCAAAAGATTTCAAACAAAACCGTGGTCCCAACACACCCGAAAACGAAACCTTGATATTGTGGAGGTGCTCAACGAAATATGCCCCGGGAAGGCGTCGCTGTATACGGAACAAAGTTGAGCCAATTCGCCAAAAGTAAACCGAGAGCGACAAATGTTTTGATGGTGTCAGGAAGCGCTTTACAAAAATACTGCTCGTTCATCGCTGCTGTCTAGAAAGAACTCCACGATGTTCGCACACTTGCCAAACAAAGTGCAGATAAAATCGCATTCATGGAACTTTGCACGATTTGGAAGACCGAGCGCGAAGATCAAACTTGGCGTTCTTTCACATTAAACATGCTGATACTTAAGCGTGGGCTTATTGCGAAGCTTTGATAGTAAAGAATTGTAACACAATAGTAATCATAATATTCAAGGTATTACGTCCTGAAACCACGATATATTATCTTGTGGCGGTGACGTCGGCGAAGGCAACACTCGGCGTGTGAAAGAAGAAACTCTATTTGGCTTAATGGCCGGTAAATGAAAAGGTAGATTACAACGGAACACACTGGCACTGATAGCAGCGAGTCCCGCCACGGTGATCTAGTGGCTAAGGTACTCGGCTGCAGGCCCGCAGGACGCGCGATCAAATCCCGGCTGCGGCGGCTGCATTCCCTATGGAGGCAGAAATGCTGTAGGCCCGTGTGCTCAGAATTGGGTGCACGTTAAAGAACCCTAGGTGGTCGAAATTTCCACAGCCCTCCACTAGGGCACCTCTCATAATCATATGGCGGTTTTGGAACGTTAAACCCCACGTATCAATCTGATAGCAGCGACCAGAGCGTCAGCCGCCAATCGACGGGTCATCGTTGCGACGCGCCGTTTCTTATACATCACATGTCGAACTTTCCAGCCTTATCACCGGTGCTCTCGTAAGTTCTGGAATACTGTTGAGTGTTCGCGTCCCGTGCGGAATCTTCACAAATTGATCTGCTGGAAGCGTGAAGCTTCTCGAACACTGAGACGCAATCTGCGCCAAGTGTACTCACAACATTTGTGGCTTTCAACGGAGCACAACAAAATGATAACACGCGTGGCATTGTCTCTTTCTGATAAAGCGTCGTCCCGATACTTAAAACATCGATTGATTGATATGTGGGGTTTAACGTCCCAAAAACATCATAGGGTTGTGAGAGACGCCGTTGTGGAGGGCTCCGGAACTTTCGACCGCCTGTGGTTCTTTAGCGTGCACCCAAATCTAAGCACATGGGTCTACAGCATTTCCGCCTCCATCGAAATTGCAGCCGCCGCAGCCGGGACTCGATCCCACGATCTGCGGGTCAGCAGCCGAGTACCTTAGCCACTAGATCACCGTGGCGGGGCATACTTAAAACAGAAAGAACACCATAAAAGAATGCATGCAACAAATGACAACAATAAAAAAGTACGCCAAAATAGTGAATTATTGGGCTGGTTGGTTTGACATCTGGCATAGAAGAGCTAAGCTTGAAAGGAACTGAAGACTATTTAGAAGAAAGACACTCAACTTGGAATTGAGTTTATTATGAAAATTGACTCGTGACGAAAACAAATGCGCAGGCGCAGTCACACCAGATAGTCACTCAATAAAAAAGAAATATCTGCTTAAAAACAGGTTAATAATCTACGGTAACAATAAAGGGGTACGTTAAAGAAATTTATATACTTAACTGCGTTGAAGAAAGTTATTTCTTTCACTCACTGTCAGATGTACCAACGGTGCACTGTTGAGCGCTTCTGCAGCATTCCTAGTCTGTTCTGCCTCTGAGATCTTTCTCTCATGCCTGCCCTTTGCTCTACCTGTTACGTCAGCTCCCTCGAAAATTGGATTGCAGCCCCATGCACTGTGATGCGAAGGGAAGGGCGCCCCATCATTTGGAGCATTCTCTGTAGCTGCGTGCTCTCTAAGCCTATCATTAGGGCATCGGTCCATTTGAACAATGTGAGATTTACAACGTAGTGGTATCTTATTCTACAACTTCCATAGCACAGGGGACAGATATCTTCTTAAGCTTCTTCACGGCAGCCTTTAATTTTTACCGTTTGTGCACTCTTGCCGGTGAAACCTCATGACTGATACTGGGTGAGTGGAAAGTGGGCAAGATTGTCCCAGTCCTAAAAAAAGGTGTGCCGTCTTCACACGTATAGGTGCCGCCCCATCTCACTCACCAGTGTTTGTTCGCAACTAATGACACACAGTACAGTCACACACAGCTCATTTTTGATAGTCTGCTTTTTTTTCACCCTGAATCAACATGGATTTTACAAAGGTTTTTCTGGAGAATAACAACTTGCGTTGTTCATGAATTACAATATTTGTCACCTCGATCCAAACATTCCAGATGACGCTCTGTTTTTAGATTTCGAAAAGGCGTTAACAAGGGGCCACATCGGCGACTATTTTGGACGAGATAACAACTTCATGGGTTGAAAACCTTATACCTCTTTTCTTTCGGACTGGATTCGTAGTTTTGTTTTACTAGCCGGGAGAACGGATGTTAACAAGCATTCTTCAAGCGGAAGCCCTGTTTGTTGTGGAGCACCCCAAGAAATTGTCTTAGACCCACTAATTTTTCTAATATATATTGGGGATCTCTCCGCCAAGATTCTACCTAACAGACGTTGGTTCACATATGACTGCGTCGTTTATCGCCCTATTCATAGCGATTGTGACTTACGATTCCTACAAAAGGGCCTGGATAAAATCACTGCTTGGTGCAGTGAATGGGTTATCTTGATAAGCATTATCTAAACACTGCTAGTTTCTTTTACCCCACATTTCGAAGTTTCTCCAACGCAGTTCGTCCGGCGCAACACTGCGATTTCTCCTGTGAACTCATGGACGTACCTAGGGGTTACTATATAAAACGATTATTTCTACTCATCTCACATCACGCGCATCATCAACCATCAACTAACTGCACATTTGGATACTTTCCAACACACGTGCACCTCGCTACCCCATGAGTCAAACTGTTAGCTTATCTAACATGCATCACGCCTAAGTTAGAGTAGGCATGCTCTTCTTCAAAATTGCATCAATCGAAGCTGATTAAAGCAATTCAAGCAGTTAAATTCATACAGATCGTTACATCTATTCAGAGTATTCAGTCCACGGTAGACTGTCACAAAAAACTAAAATCCGAAGCACATCTATATAACTTGAAACTATGACGCCTTAGATCTACGCTGTGTCTTTTTCACTAATTTTACTATTCCTGTTCTAGCACTTCAATAGGTTTTTCTGCTCATCATCCGCCTTGCCACACCAAAGCAGTGCACCCACCAAAGTGCACGGACCACTGCGCACCTACTCTTCTCCTTCTTCGTGAAAACAGCCAGGGACTAAAACGCACCACCCAGAGACGCTGAAATCTAATCCGACCCGCAAGGAACTGAGTAATTTTCACCTCATACCAGCCCATCCATCGTGTAAAACGCCAAGGCCGAATATTTCGTGTATGAATAAATAAAAATTTTAAAAAGTTTCTCGTTTCTCTGGCACAAGTTGCTCATAGAATGTGGAAGAACTTTCTGACGCAAGACATTCTAGAGCCACCTACTAGTCGCAGAATACTGCCCATTGAATGGTCGGCTGCTGCTGGTTTCTATAGTCGACGGCATTGCACAGAGCCACAAACTCTGAACCAGTCATTGTGCTCACGTGTGCAATGTTGTAAAAAGGGTCGATGTCTCCGATGAGATGATGATGATGAACTCTTTTTTTTTTGCTAACGTTCCATAGAAATACCGCAAGCACTTTTCTTCTTGCTCGCCTCAAAATTGTCTTTCTTTAGGATTTCCTTTTCTTTCTTTAATCCCACTGCCGTGTGCATGATGGCGATTTTCCCGTAGTGGGTTCAGCCACTCAGCTGGGACCCACCCAACCAACCAACCAACAAGGGGGGCAGTTCTAGGTGGAAGATCCATGCGTGCATACATGAATCCTGTTAGCGTAGGAAGTGTGAAAATGGTCCAGTAGTGCCTAATTCAAGAGCGAGGTGGAAAGTCTTTTCTTCCTTCTTATTCCTGGGACGAAACGGCGTACTTCAGGTTGATGTAAGCACTACAAAGCTAATTGGGAACGCATCGAGGCTGTGAAACCCGTTGGTAGCAAGCTAAAAAACATGGATAGCAGTCTATGAGTCTTGTAAGGGCCATTTGCTTTCGAAGTTTTACTGTTATTTTCCAATTAGGCGCACCTGACACCTTGATCACGGTTATTTTATAGCACTTGTATTTTCGAGTGTTTTATCCAGGTAAGAGTCACTTATGAATGCTTGTGTCCCCAACATTTTCGCACATGGCCTCTCAGTGGGCATGCGCCAAAGTATATGAAGCAATCATTATCAATAAGGAAGTTCCCATACCGACCACTGAACATCTTTGCCGCTAATATACGTCCGCAGCAATCGCGCTTCTCCCACAGAGCAGCGCGGGCGACGTCCTGTCGAAGCGAACAACATGGTACAGCAACAGAAACGAATCAGTGGTGAATTCATCGGTAACAGATTTCCAATGAGCAAGTTACGTGGGTCCGACATGTATCGAAACAGCAATAAGAAATGGTTCCTTTGCAAGCCCAACTGGAAGAACATACAGCTGCAGCAGTTCGAGAACAACCTGTACCAGGAACACCCTCACACGGCAGGCCGTTCGATGGCCGAAGTGGAAGCCTACAGAAATGCCAACGGTGTATCGGTGAAAGAGAACGACGTGCCGAAACCCATACTCGCCTTGGAAGAGTCCAACTTTCTGGACTACGTCATCAAGGCAATAGGGGCACAACGCGACTACATGTCACCAACGTGCATCGAGGCCTACTGCTGGCCCATCGCACTCTCTTGCAGGAACTTTCTTGGCATAGCGGAGACGGGATCACACAAGGCGCTCGCCTACGTCCTTCCGGCCGTCATAGACGTCAGCCGCCAGCCTCCCCGGCAATGGCACGAAGGCCCCATTGCCTTAGTCGTAGATCCGACGTGCGAGCTGGCCAAGCAGATTCACATCGTGGCCTCAGAGCTCGGCGAGCACGCTGGGGTGGGCAGCGTGTGCGCCGTGAGTGGTGACTGCAGAAGAGGCCAGTACGCAGAGCTTCAGAAGGGCTGCCATATCCTCGTGGCCACGCCTGGACGCCTCATTGAGTTCCTCGATGAGAGCAAGGTGAATCTGCACCACTGCACTTACCTCGTCCTCGTCGATGTGGACCGCATGCTATGGGATACAAGCAGCACGTCCTCAAAATTGCCGAGCTTTGTCGGCCAGACCACCAAACGATAATTTGGGTCAGTTCCTGGTAAAAGCACCTAAAGCCACTCGTGGAGGATTTGCTCGACGACTATACGTGGAAGTAACGTTTAGTGCGACGCCGCTGCCTGTTCAGAACAGCGTGGAAATAACAGTCGACGTGTGCCAAGAAGAAGAGAAAGGGGCGAAATTGGCCGAACTATTGGAGAACGTCCTCAAGAAAAAGACAGACAGAGCCGTGGTGTTCACTGAGAAGATGTGGAAGGTCGAGGAGATTGCCTTCCAACTGCGACAACGTGGCTGGCCTGCAACAGGCCTTCACGGCAAGAGGGACAAAGAGGAGCGTGAATGGGTCTTGTCATCGTTTAGCAGCGTTGCAGAGACGGTGCTGGTGACGACCGACGTGGTTGTGCAGGACGCGGAGTTGGGGAAAGTGCGGATGGTGGTGAACTATGACTGTCCGGGCTGCTCGACAGTCTACGCGCACAGGTCAAGGCATGTGCAGCTCGATGACAAACCGGGCATGGTGTACACGTTCTTTGTTCCGACCCAACATCGGAAGGCCGAAACTCTGGTGGAAAGTTTGGACGACGCAAAACAACCCATCAGTCCTGAATTCTACGGAATTGTGAAAAATGTTTCTCTCAAGCAGTAACGGGACCCATATTGGTGGTCTTTGGGGTTGTCACGGACGGCTATTTTCGGCGACACCGCGTCACGGCAATTAACGGGCGCCGTACTGCCCGACTGACCGTGAGAAACGGCGGCACATGAAAGGGAACCGATAAGTGCAAAATGGGCTGCTCTCCTTAGAACGTTGCCGCCGACAGTTAATCCTTTTGTAACTGCGGCGACGTCTACAAGGTCGTAGAAGGCCGCGGTATACCCCGAAAAAGGATTAGACTACGAGACGCCCGGCTGAGAAGCTAAGTGGTTGACCGTTCCCACGGAGAAAAGCGCGGGAAAACGCTCTGGTGGCCAAGCCGTATGACAACAAACCCGACAGGTTGTCACTCTCCCTAGTTGCGGGCCCTCTCCCTATTAAAAGGGGTGGGGTCCAAAATATTTTTGGGGCGGAGTTTCCCCTCAATTAAACGCGCATGATTGGACCCAGGTAGAGGTCTCTTGTCCCCAAGGAAGAGAGCAAGGAGACACGAGGGGGATTTAAGCGCAGGATTGTTGCCCTGCTAGGCAGACTAGTCGCTGACCAAGATGGTGTAGAAACAGATCAACAAGCTCTCTTCTAGAAGTTTTAGTGTGGCTCTGTACGGCTGGCCACCTAAACTTAGCCGTTCGTCTAGTGTGACGCGATATTAACGTCTGCAACGTAGACATCGGGACTCGCCTCGAGTTAGCTCAACCTGCTCGAAGTCACCTGCAAGCACTAGCCTCCCGGAGACACCAGCGTTGCAACACCGCCGACATCGCAGTCGTGCCAGAACTCTCTTCGACTTCTCGCATCCGATCGTCAGGGACACAACGCTGCCGGTCATCACACGTATGCCTTCACCTGTTTATATCTTCGAACTTTCTCCTCCGTCGTTCTATTCTTGTTAGTTTGTGTAGTTTGTAATAGTTCTCTCTCGTAAGCTGATTTCTTGTTTCTGTTATATATTTCTTTAGTTGTATCCAGTGTCGATGTATTTTGTTAGTTGTATTGAAGTGTTGTATTAGATCCCGTGTGCTGCAATATCATTAGAGTAAAGTTGTTTTGTTTTCCCACGTCTCTGATCTCTTCACTGTCTGTGCTTGCGTACGGAACGAACCAACCTGCTGTCATTCCCGTCGCCGACTTCGCGCTGGCGACGCTAGAGTGGCAGCTTGTAACAAAACTGGCGTCCGCGAGACAGGACGTTCCGTACAAGAGTAAGACAGTGAGGGGTGAACGAGAACCGTGTGGACAGCGTGGTGATAGAGCCGCAGAGTTGAAGCAGTTGCATCCTGCAATGATTGCGCTGTTTTTATAGTGGCATTATAGTGACAGTTGCAGTATGGAGTGTATGAATTTTGATAAGTGGATCGCGTACGGTAAACAGTTAGACCTCGAGGGCGCCGAACTGAGACAATGGATTAAGGAGCAGCAGGAACTGGCGCAGGCCTGAGAAGAGCGGGCACGGGCCCGGGAGAAAAGGGAAAAAGAAAGGGAGAGAGAACGAGAAGCGGCAAGGGAAGCTGGAGAACGGGAAGTGCAGTTACTGCAATTAGAGATTCGTTTCAGTGAGGGTAGCAGGGTGAGCCGATTCAGCAGTGAGCACGGCGATGCCGGCGAGAAACTGTCATTTGAGCGAGACACATGGTGTCAAGGGCTACTCGCGGTTCTGCCTTGCGAGGCAAATGAAGCTGCTGCGCGACTCAGTCAGCAGAACGCGAACAACGAGGTAGTTAAGGCAGAGATGCTCCGGACATTCGGAACGTCTGTCTGGACAAAAGAGCAGCTCAGACAAGAGTCTGAAAGAGAGCGCGAAGCAGAAAGACAAAAGTGTGAAAGCAAGACGCGTCGGAAAGCGTTGGACATTGAAGCGCGTCATGAAACGCCAGAACCAGAAATCGTGCTAGAAAAGGGCCCGCATATTCTCGAATGCATCCATATAAATGATGTAGAGAACGAGGCCTTGGCCGGTCTCGAAGTAGAGACAGTATCAAAAAACGGTCCTAGCGAGGATGAGGTGTGTGCCAGCAGCCCTAATGGACTCAGTAAGAAGCTAGAAACCATCCTCATGCCTCGAGAGGACGTCTCGAGATCGTCACATGCAGATAGGGTTAGCACAGTGGCTAAACACAGCGAGAACGCGACGCTTCAGGAGTGCAGCGATGCCATTGGAGAGGGCCCAGTTAATGGTTTCGTCAGCATTAACAAAGATAATTTGGCCCGGCAGTCCGTCGTGACACCGAGTTCAAAATGTTTGAGCGTGGGGCAAAATGTAGCACAAGCTCCAACGAGCTTCCCAACCACTCAGTTCCCGACGCGACATGATGATGGCATCGAGAGTAAGGGGGCAAGCAAACATCGCCGGAAACGAAAGAAGCGGAAGCGCACTGCGCTGCGCAAGCCTAGGTCAGGCCCCACTCACTCGCAAGAAAGACGAGAGGGTAGGCCATTAGTCCGTTTCAAGGAACGTCAATGGTGGCGTTCAGGGAAGCACAAGCGGCGAGCCAGGTGTAGAGGGAGGAAACGAGGTACGCCACCCCAACGCAGCGTGCGGTTCAGCTCGACAAATTCGGGAAAGCGGCCTTTGCCGAAGGGTCAGAGTCGAAAGGGCAGAGTGGCTAAATACCGCATAGGGGAGAACACAAAAGAAAAATGGCACAGGCTTCCCCCCTGCTTCTCGTACCCCTTTCACATTACCGAAGAAAGCCGGCCGAAGTGCAGAATGAGGCGTGACGGCAAAACACAGCCTAACGTTCCTGTGGTTAGTAGCCTCAGGCCTGATGGAAAACCGCCGGGACCGCGACCTCATCGTGTGCGATTCAAAAGAATCTAGTTGAGAAAGGGGGAACGGTCAGTTCTAGTAACTTTTGCACAGGCGTGTTAAATATTGTTACTCAGTTGTACGCCAAGATGTGTATTCAAGTCTTTTAAACTTTGGAAGTTACGTGATGCGGTGTAATTTTTTTTAAAAGGGAAATCGCCGAACCAAAGGCTGAAAAATAGCATCGAAGTAATTCAATCATTGTGCGAAAATTTGCATAAAGGTAAAAACCAAGAAAATGTGTTATTTTTCTAGTGTTCATAGGTTTAGTGTTATGTCGCATGCCTGTGGATATGGCGTGAATTGGCATTTAAGGAGGAAGATGTTAGCATAAACCGAATGATTTCGTAAATTGATTAAGATTGGCGTGACCCGGTACAGTTGTCGTTGCGCGCATTGAGACTTGAGGTCTATGAGCATGTTTTTTTTTTTTCCTTCCGTCGGTTGTTTTCTGTTTGTATGTACGTATTTCATTGTATAAGAAGTGTATTTTAAGTTATTTTCTTTTTGCTTGGCGCATTGGTTGTTCTTACTTGCTGTGATGCACATTGAAGGATTGCACTACAGTAGAGGAGCGCACATGTTCCGTTTTATTTTGTAGTATGCATTCGTGCAGTGTATTCTGTATTGATGGCTGCCGTACACGGCTATTTCCTCTTCTTGTTTGTATGGCGCATTGATATTGTTGCGTGTAACTGAAGTTGGTACGCTAACAATTTGTTTTTTTCGTTTTTTTTCTTTTGTTGTTACTTTGATGCACTCTGCCTAGTTATGTTGTGTATGAGAGGGACAGCCCTCATGTCTCCCTTGTTGGTGGTGTTTTGTTCCTTGTTTGTCGAAAAAATTCCCCTCCGTGTGAACAAATGTTATGAATACATTCTGAAAGCGGAGGGCAATGTCACGGACGGCTATTTTCGGCGACACCGCGTCACGGCAATTAACGGGCGCCGTACTGCCCGACTGACCGTGAGAAACGGCGGCACATGAAAGGGAACCGATAAGTGCAAAATGGGCTGCTCTCCTTAGAACGTCGCCGCCGACAGTTAATCCTTTTGTAACTGCGGCGACGTCTACAAGGTCGTAGAAGGCCGCGGTATACCCCGAAAAAGGATTAGACTACGAGACGCCCGGCTGAGAGCTAAGTGGTTGACCGTTCCCACGGAGAAAAGCGCGGGAAACGCTCTGGTGGCCAAGCCGTATGACAACAACCCGACAGGTTGTCACTCTCGCTAGTTGCGGGCCCTCTCCCTATTAAAAAGGGGTGGGGTCCAAAATATTTTTGGGGCGGAGTTTCCCCTCAATTAAACGCGCATGATTGGACCCAGGTAGAGGTCTCTTGTCCCAAGGAAGAGAGCAAGGAGACACGAGGGGGATTTAAGCGCAGGATTTTGCCCTGCTAGGCAGACTAGTCGCTGACCAAGATGGTGTAGAAACAGATCAACAAGCATCTCTTCTAGAAGTTTTTAGTGTGGCTCTGTATCGGCTGGCCACCTAAACTTAGCCGTTCGTCTAGTTGTGACGCGATATTAACGTCTGCAACGTAGACATCGGGACTTCGCCTCG